CCCACCCTCCCCCTCAGAAATCGTGGGGGGTAGTGGTAGGGTTCGCAGGTGCCCCCCTAGCTACCTTCCTGCCCTTCGCGCTCGACGAGCGCCCCTTTCACCCTGTGGAACCTGGGGGCGCCGCATTGGCCAGGCGCTGGAGCGGTGGCCAGACCTCGAAACGGGACCGGCGCAGCACTGGGCGTCGGCAGGAATCGGAGATCGGCAGGGGCGCACCGAGGAATCGTATCGGATATCGGGGCTGGGGCTGCAATGCTGCACTCCTCCAGCCTCCACCCTCTGACCTCCGCCCCCCGTCCGAACCCGTGCCCTGGCCCACCGCAGCGAGAAACTGCTATGCCTCACGAGCAGCAAGCGTATCCATGTACGGCAAATTCGTGCCGTGACGACCACGGCGCTGGTTTCTGACACCGCGGGAATCGTTCAACGACGGGCCGATTTTGGGCCACGGGCGGCGTTCAACCTTAAACGCCCGCGCTGGGGTCGCCGCTGGTCGACACGACGCGAACCGACCGTACATGCCCTCGCGGTCTGGACTCTAAGGCATGATGCCGTGGACACGCGGTCGCACAGGTGCGTTCCGCAGGGGGGGCATCCCCTGAAGAGCGCTCCGCGGCCACAGGGTGGCGGCCCTAAGGTCCCCGCCAGTGAGGCCGCGGATATGGACATACGAGCGAGTCGGGCTGCCCAGAGCAGCTGGCTCGACCCACATCTTGGCGGTTGGACATGCGGTCACGGCCGCGTGCCGCCGCATAGGACGGGCCACCACATATACGCAACACGTGCTAAGCACTTGAGGCTCCGTCGGGGAATTCGTTGCCGCACAAAGATGAACTCAAGTTCGACTGGGGAGGACACGCGAGAGTACCCAAGACCATTCCGAGGGCGACCTTGCCACAGGGACGCAGAGTCCATGGGTCTCTAAACACGTGACACAAGGGTAACCTTGCTTTGGTGGGGTCGACCCACTGACCGAACTCACAGCTCACGGCTGCCTCTGCGAGAACCCGCCAGGAGACCAGGCAACGAATGGGCACGCAAACCACTACAAAAACTTGATGGCATCGCGAAACGGTCCCGAAGCCTCCAGGAAGTCCCCAGTCTCTCCCCCCCGAGAATCCTCCCCATGCGCCCAGAAGCCTGCGAACAGACGTCCAGAAGCAGCCGGAGACAGCCGACAACATTTGCAACGGGTCCTTTGGGGGAACGAGCCATGACATGAACATAGAACTCGGAGGTTCGCGCGGACTCCTCGGACCGGCGCTGGACCACCCCCCCGCCTGGCTCGCGGAGCGCGCCGGGCGGAGCGCGCCGGGAGGCGCCAGAAGCGCCGCCCTGGGAACTCCGGCGCCGACCCGAGAACTCTGCGCGGACCTCTGAGCGTTTACGCTTCTGAGCTCGATTGCTCCCTGATTGGGCGCCCGAGTTATCCGGGGTAACTCGGGTCCGGGGTAAGTCGGGTTTGGATTCCCGAAAAAGGAACCCGAGTTATCCCTGACCCGAGTTACCCCTGATGATTCGGGGCTCTGGACGCCCGAGTTATCCGGGGTAACTCGGGTCCGGGGTAACTCGGGTTTGGATTCCCGAAAAACGAACCCGAGTTATCCCTGACCCGAGTTACCCCTGATGATTCGGGGCTCTGACCTGACTCCTCCTCCACCGGCGCCCACGCGGCAACAGCAGGGTCGAACACCGAGGGCCGGCCAGCGCCGACCGCGAGAGGCCGAGGCCGAGGCCGACCCCGAGGGGCGCAGCGGCCGAGGGGCGCAGCGGCCGCAGCAGCGGCAGGGCGCTCGACCGAGAAGACTGTCTGGACCATCCCCCCTGGCGCGCGGAGCTCGCCAGGGGCGGCGCTGGAGGCGCCGCCAGGGGGCCCCAGCGCCGATCCGAGGGGTCCGCGCGGACCTCGGAGCTTGATGTTTGTATCCTTGTGCTGATTAACCAGAAAGGACCCGTAACCCTCTGGGAGGGGACCTAAGTTGGGAGGGTCCTTTCTGCAGATGCACCAAACCAAACCACACAGCACTATTACTACTATAGTCACTAATGCGAAGACGGGGACCTCAGTGAGGATACGTCTTCAGTGATATTAGGGATAGGGGATGTCTTATCCTCGATGATGTGCTTCCTTTGGACGCCCGAAATGGGCACGGAAAGAATGGGTACAATGCCCAACAACAAATGTTGTCCCAAACCAACAGCGGCCGCTGTTGGGCAGGCGGCCTCCTGTCTCAAATGGACACAGGCCGCGGCGGCGCGGCCAGCGAGTCCTGCTCAGAATGAACAGGACCTGCTGTTGGGCATTGTACCCATTCCCTCCGTACCAATTTCGTTGAGGGGCAACGATAGGGGGGGACAGGCATAGGGGGGGATGCATCGACCTGGACTCGGCGATACATCGTCGATAGATCGGCGATAGGCCCTCGATAGTGAATCCGCACCTTCCTGGGCAGGTTGGGGCTATCGGGCCCCTATCGGCGATCAATGGGCGATTGGGGGTCGAGGCATCCCCCCTACGCCTATATCCCCCCCCCCATCGTTTCCATACTTCTTTCCGTACCCGTCTCGTTCGTGCAGGTTCCCCGACGTTTGCTGGCAGCTGCCCCACCCCCTGCGGGGGGAGGAGCGGTGCCAGAGGGGCGGCACGCGTGCTGCGTGCGCCGAGCGTGCTGGAGCCAGAACGCCACTTCAAATGTCTTGAGGAGGAGGAGGAGGAGGAGGAGGAGGAGGAGGAGGAGGAGGAGGAGGAAGAGCCAGGACGAGGAGGAGGAGGAGGAGGAGGAGGAGGAAGAGCCAGGAGGACGAGGAGGAGGAGGAGCCTGGAGGAATAGCCCAATCGATGAACTTCTGCTCAGCGTCAGAGAGGAGGAAGAGGCGGGTAGGAGGAGGTGAGACGAGGGACTGAGGCACGAAGGGGGGAGGCCACAGGGCTCCTGTGGCAGGGGGGCAGGCTTGCAGGTCCCTGCACAGGACTGAGGCACGACGTAGGGTCAGGGGGCGAAGAATTCAGTCGAGCCTGTCCCCCTACAGGGGGATGTTTGCCGAAAAATAAAAGATTCCCCAACAATAACCAAGAAATAGTACAAACATCATCAGGGGATATTATTTGGAGCATGTTTTGTCCATGTTGGGGCACTCGTTGCGTATTGTTTGTTTTTCGTCGAACATTGCCCTGTAGAGGGACACGCCCGACTTCAGCGAAGAAGGAGCTCGCCCCGCGCTCCCTCCCCCTCCCCCTCCCCCTCCCCCTCCTCCTCCTCCTCCTCCCCCTCCCCCTCCCCCCTCCTCCCTCCTCCTCCTCCTCCTCCTCCTCCTCCTCCTACCTCCTCCTCCTCCTCCTCCTCCTCCTCCTCCCCCCTCCTCCCTCCCTGCTCCTCCTCCCTCGCGGCGAGGCGGTGTCCTGTCTTCACCCTCTCGATGAAGTCTGCGTGCGTGCGCGGACTCGCCTCGAGCCACCCAGGCGACTACGACGACGCTGGCCACCACGACCACGACGCCACCGACGACCACGACGACCACGACGATGACAACGACAAGCACGACGACGTCGACGACGACGACGACCACGACGGCGACGGCGACGGCGACGACTACGACGTCCCAGGACGACATCAGCGTTCGACTTCTGTCCCTTCTTGAACCACGAGACCTGCACAAACGAGCATCTTCGGAGGACCGCGGGGATGTCTTGGATCGGTGCTAGAGCCCCCTTCCTAGCGCGAGGAGCGGGCCGGAGGCGGTGATGGCGGCGCCTCATGGACCTCGTTTACGTGTATGTCGATGTGTCGTCTTCAACTCTTCCTCTTCGACTCCAATTTCCCCAACCGGAGGCTCCGTGCGACCACGGGGCTCCGCATGAGGTGGGAAAGAGGAAGCTATGATAGACAAGAAAGATGTTGATCTTCCCAGGACTGTCGCGACGACGACGTTTGACGATGCTGGGGCTTGTCGGCCTAGGACGCAGTCGGTAGCCGCTCAGGTCCCAAACTTGGCCTGTGGATGCCCGGAAAAGGGTGTACGCTTTCTCTCTCCAAAAGGGAGCTACTGGGCACGACTCAAGGGAAGCTACTGGGGCGGACCCTACGGTGGAATCCTGGGAAAGCTCCTGGGAGACACCAGTCGAAAGCTAATTCGTGTAAACCCTGGGTCGTCGCACGAACGATCTTCAGAGAAGAGCTCCACGTGTCCGTGGGAGGGGTCCCGGTGAAGAGTCCCAGGGCGGACCCTTGGATGCATACCGAGGGGGCAGAATTTACAGGGTCGGAAGATCTCACGGTATCGCCGATGCATCGACGATGTGGGGTGCACGGTTTTCCCCGGGACCGTAGGCGACCCGAGGAGGAGGAGGAAGGAGGAGGAGGAGGAGGAGGAGGAGGTGGAGAAGGTGGAGGGGGATGAGAGATGCAGGAGGAGGAGGAGGACTACGACGACGAGGATGAGGGGGAGGAGGGGGAGGAGAGGATGAGGAGGAGGAGGAGGAGGAGGAGAAGGAGAAGGAGGAGAGGAGGAGGAGGAGGATGAGGGGAGGAGGATGAGGAGTGAGGAGGAGGAGCGAGGAGAGGAGGAGGAGGAGAGGAGGAAGGAGGGATGAGGAGCAGGAGAGGGGGAGGAGGGGAGGAGGAGGAGGAGGGGAGGAGGAGGAGGAGAGGAGAGGAGGAGGAGGAGGAGGAGGAAGGAGGAAGAGGGAGGAGGAGGAGGATAGAGGAGGGGAGGAGGGAGGAGGAGGAGGAGGAGGAGGAGGAGGAGGAGGAGGAGTGAGGAGGAGGAGTGAGGAGGACGGGTCGCCCAAGCCCTTCGGAGATACCCTCCAGTGTGGTGATGAGGAACATGGGGCTCCCGATCGCGCCGCGATGCCGCTGGACCCCTCGGTCATCCCATCTGCTGCGGCCACGTCCGGGCGGCCTGGACTATAGGAGGCGGCGGGAGGGGCTCCGAGAGGCGGCCCCCCTGTGAGGACTCCCGGTGACGCTCACGAGACGGCTCCATGGGTGGGGTGGTTTGGGAGGCATGCGCAAGACATCCCTGCCACCGAAACGGCCGAAGGCTTGAGCCAGATCTCGACCCAAGGCTTAGAGCTCAGCGGCTCGAGAGAAGACTAGCTTCTTTGGGGCCCAGTTGCCGTCCCCAGATAATTGTGCATATTGCTCGCTTGCGTATCATGTGATGATTGTGAAGGGGCGCAGAAGATGTCAGCATGCACCTCTTGATCGGCGAAACAAACATAGCAATCCGCGTGAAAACGTCTAGAATGGGAGAACCGATGCCACGAGTGGCATCCACTCGTGGCCATGCGTGCCTGCACAAGAAAGTGCCCTCCAAGTGTAGAACTGGCACGCCTGCAGGACTTGAATAAGACAGGCTCCCCCTTGAAATCAAACGTGGGGAAACCAAAAAAAAGGTGCCGATAACGCTGATCCCCAGACCTCTCCCCGGGTGCGTTCTGACCAGAATTCGGAGGCGAACCCGCCAGTGGCGACAACGAACCTCTCGGGAAGCTCACAAAGGCGAGAACGAGCCCAGGGTAGCGGTAGCGGCACCTCTTCCTCCTCTGATGAATGTGACATGCAGCACCCCCTCGGCATCGAACCTTAGGTCGGGCGTGTCCTCCTACAGGCGGATTTCGGACGAAACACAAAACATAATCAAAACATGAATCAACAAACAATCCGAAATACAAAAAACAATCGTCCCCAGAATAGTGCTTGGCTGTTTTCTGAGTTTTATTCCTCCTGCAGAGGGACAGGCCCGACTTAAGTCGGACTCCCGCGCCCGCATGCGCCGGAAGAGACGACCGCGGCTTCTCGGGCCTCCTTCGGCACGGGGCGCGGGGGGGCGGGGCGCCGCCGACAGCTCTCCTCAGGAGCCCGCGAGGTCGGCCAGGTGCTTGAGCAGGAGCTCCCGCGCGCGGCTAACCTCGATGAAGCGCTCCGCGGCGTCCGGGTCGGGCGTCTTGTCCGGGTGCAGCGGGAGGCAGCGCTTGCGGTACATCCTGTCGACCTCGCCGGCGTCCTGCGGCAGCTTGCCCTCCTTGAAGCCCAGCAGCTGCGCGGCCTCGTCGACGGAGCTCAGGTCCACGAGGCCCTTGCGCGAGTTGAAGTCGTCGATCCTGTTTTGGTACTCCTTCGTGTAGTCTTTGACCCACAACACTGTACCGTCCTCGCCGTAGCGCTTGCAGAAGCCACAACGCATACCATTGGCATCGTACACGACCTCCGACTTGACGTTCCCTCCCGGATAGTATTCGCGCCAGTGGCCCGCCTTCCTGGAGGCCATCGTGCGCTCGTCCTCAACGAAAAAGAGCTGCTCCGACTTCAGGCGCTGATTCTCGTAAAAATGTTTCCTGCTCAGATACGGCTGGCCCAAGCCGAAATGAATGTCCATCCGGCACACGCCGCCCACATCGAAGTGCTTCTCCTCTACGACCCGCTGGACCGGAGGTCCGCCACCCAGTCCTGGCAACTGCTGGTATGTCCGGAAGTGTTTCTGGTTGCCATTGTCGTGGTAGTAGCGCTCCGTGAACAGATATCCGTCCTGCTCGTCGTCGTCGGAGTTGTCGTTGCCGCTGTCGTACCCGTTCGCGAGGCAAATCTGAGTCTGCTTCCTGGTGTAGATCCGTGCGATCTGCAGCTCGGCGCAGCTGCTCGTATGCAGGTCGAGAGCGCCCTTGTCCGCGTAGTGCGCCACCAGCTTCTCTGTCATGGGTGATGGGCCGATCTGCCTCCACCGCCACCACAGGTAGTAGGGGGAGGAGGAGGAACACAGGGACGAGCAGAGGGACGAGGAGGGCGAGGAGGACGAGGCGGAGGAGGAGGAGGACCTCCCCGTCCTCCCTTCTCCCCCGTCCTGCCGATGGTAGGGGTGGTGGAAAATTCGGCCCATCCATGGGGGGCGCGCGAGCGGGCGGGCGGCAAGCCGAGCCTGCCGGCCTCCCGGTGAAAAAAAACGGCTTGGGCGCTCAAGCTGCTGCGGAAAAGCTCGCCATGGGCGTGGGCGGGACCTTTGCTTAGGAGGAGGAGGAGGAGGAGGAGGAGGAGGAGGAGGA